GGGTACTGAAAGTGATCTCAACAGCAAAAAGCATTTCAATCGGTTAGGCCCTAGATAGTCTCGCTTTTTTCAACGCACATTTTCTGTACCCCGTTTGATTACCTAGGCCATTCATTAATTGTGATTGATACTGACAAACGAAACCTTTTAAATACAGCAGCTTTAATATGGGTTTTTTCATTATGCATTCAAAACAACGCGCAGTGGAATAGGCTGTTTTAATCGGACGCTTTGGTTGCAGCGTTTGACCTCTTTCAAGGAGTGCCACAATCAATTGAATATGAGTAAACTGCAGCGACCTCTGGGTCCACTACCGTGTGTTTTGATTGTTGCACCCCAGGCATTGGTTGGGCGTTATATCAGGTCAGCGTGTGTGTTACTACGTATGCCTGTAGTCTGATAGGTATGTGCTTCCGTAGCGCACTCATCAGACTGTTTATCGTTCTTCTCTTCTATTTTGTGCGACAACTTTAGCCTCGGCTGATGTCAATACTGTTGTTCAGTTGTGTCTAAGCGCAACGTATTTCACGTTTTAAACGTACGCTTTACCGCCAAACTTACGATGTTGCTATGGGGTCTCTAGTATCATATAATTTTGTATCTAAGGGTTTGCGTAACTTCGCTCATCCATCACTGTTGTAACTTGGTGGTAGATGATCGTGCAACTCTGTATCGGTCCCTCGGCTTCCTGCTACACCCAATACGGCGTATCAAAAGGCACGGTAGCTCTACACAGCCCTTTATCGAGACAAAGAAAATTACTACAACTGTATTTATAGGGTAGTCACAGAGTGTTCCACAAGGTAGTGCCAGAATCTCCGTGAGGGGGCGAGAAGCTTCGAATCACAGGAACTTGACTCGGATTGGCTGGCATTATGACCAGTCAGGGCATACCTTCGTTTGGCCCGTGTCTTGCGCGTGACACGTCCGTCCAAATGATGTGATGTTGGGGTATCAGGTATGACTGGCCGCCGAACAATGACCTACCTGGATAAAATTCGTTGAACACATAGTTGCGGACATATCAACAACACAACAGCAGGCCTTTCGAAACTGCAACAGTATACAAATCACCATTAAATCTGAGAACGAGCAGAGGACCATTCGTCTCCTGGACTGCAGGTTCTTGGCTTAAGCTGACCATGGATTGTCAGTTGGAATTCACAAGAAACCCACACATTAAGACAGTTATTTACATTTCGGTCCTCGCATCAACAAAACGTCTATCGCGCAGTCGGTGGATAGCTGACAAATCGCACTCAAAAAAACGAGCTCGAACAAATCCCTTCAACTAGACGAGCTGGCACGATTCAGTAGGATATTACAGCAAATTAAATATTCCGCGAAGCTTATTGCGCAAAAGAATTGGAAGAACGTTCTTCGAACTGGTGTGACAGAAAGTCAAAAGACCGATGGTCACCGTCAGGATATCCTATAGATTTGGCATTTTAGACGCCATTTGAAAAATACCTCGGGATTATGATTTTAAAAAAATTTTGCGAATTGACAACAGGTTACGTTGTATCTTGCGGTGGCCGTCTTTTGGTTACGCCTTCACTGAGCCAGCCAGACTACGCGACAAGGAGAAGAAAGGGGACTCGGGACACGGCTGTATTGTCAGGACAAAACGTTTAGAGCTTCTGCGTAAATATACAGGATGACTTAATGGCCAGATATGGTCTTTCCCTTGCTCGTTTTGTACAGCCAATGGCGGCGTTCCGGTCGTGAACAATCTCAGGCCCACTCAAACCGAATACAGTTGAAAAAAACAAACAAACTAGAACGCCATTCAGCCATTGCACTACTCACATTTGAGTCAAAACATCAAATCCGTCTATTTCGGCGGTACACGTTTACGACCGTCAGGATTCACGTCACATGTAGAATGGACGTGCGCCGAGAGCAAATAGACCAGCAGGTAGCCGAACTGATGGCACAAGCATCCCGTCTATCTGGATTGGACTCATTGCACACCTTAGCAGGCATAGTTACCAGATGTCAAGACAGGATATCAAAAATGACGCAGAAGCACATCCTACTCATAGTACACGCACAGTCATTCGTACACACACACACACAGGTGCTGGCAAACCACCCAAAGGGAGCACGAGGGCTGGGATACCGCCAGGTTGCCCAAGCCTAGAAAGTGGAAGTCGAGAGGTAGGAACGCCATGATAAAGTGCCAAATTGAAGCTTCATGAAGAAGAACTTCAATAGGCTGCCAGCTGCTTTTCTTAGATTTTGCAGACATATAACTATTTGAAGATTGGGCAAAAGGCATGTTCGGCTGCTGTCAGGCTCACTCACTTTGGTCGCATTTCTCAGCAGCACTTCACAAGTTTGGCATATGATTGTAGATTTGCCGATGCTTAAGTTCGGATTCTATGCACCAAGTGATTTGAAAATATAGGGTGTCTCATGATTGACGCAAAAAATAATACCCATGTTTAAACTAAATCACCAATTCAAAAATTTATCATTCATTATGCAAACATACGCGCATAACGGAGGTTTACTGTAAATTAACTGGCGTTACAAAAGTTGTAAAAAAAACCGCCCCTTTATTCTATAACAAGTTGGAGGCGGTATGAGCTATGAGACACAGCATGTTTAACTACTTCAAGCGTCACTCATGCGCACTCCTCTTCAATTCCTGCTCTCAACTCCAAATTCTTCGGTTTGTTTTCATGATATACGCGATTCTTGATCATTCCCCAAAAGCAATAATCCAGAGGTGTGAGATCGCCTGACTTTGCGGACCAAAAGTTTGGAAATCCACGAGCAATGACTCTCTCATCAGAAAATACCTCTCAGAGGTAAGTGCTCACTTGGTTTGAGTAGTGGGGTGGAGTGCCATCTTGTTGAAGGCGCTCGATGACTTCTTGTGCTGCTTGAGTTGCGGGATAGCATGCGTCTGCAGCAAACAGAGGTAACTGTCGCCGGAAACCGTAGCATCAAAGAAAAGGGGACGCAGGAGATACTTTGAGGAGAATCCCATCCACACACAGAGATAAGGGGAATGGAGGTACATGTGAGGAGCTTCAGCGGACCATATCACGTAATTGTGCTTGTTGATAATGCCATCCACAGAAAAATTTGATCCATCGTTCCACAAAACGTTGGGAACGATTTCTTCATTGTCCAGCAGCCAGTTAGCGAACGTGACACATTGGCGAAGATGTGATGGTGCTCTGGGACTGAAGCTGCGCGACGGCGTTCTGTACAACAGAGACTTTCTCCTTTCGCCAGGAAAATCCAATACAGATCCAGTGGACTCAAATTTTGCAATCAAGCGTGCAATGGTCGACACGGTGAAAATACCTTTGATGGGACCATGTTTGGCTTCGTAACCACGATTTGCGGTGATGGCGTTTTCACCAAGGGAATAACAGAGTTTCACAATTTCAGTGCGAGTACTGACATCCATCGTGAACAAGAAAATACCAGCCCTTACACGCTAAACCTCCTAATAATGGAAGATCTTGTTATTCTTCCTCTAATACTCTGCGTTCATCTACACAATCAAATTTTGCGTGTATTATGAGACACCTTGTAGAGACACTACACCCTAACTACATTCGGCCTGCCAGATATACGGGCGTGCGGATAGAATAATTGGATGTTACTTACGCTTTATCTGTTTGATATCTGCCAGAAGACAACTTTGAACAGTGTGATACAGAAAGGACGAACGTTCTTGCATGTGTACAAACACACGTGGTCACGCAAGCAAATCCTCGAATGCTGAGTAACGGCACAAAAATGTGCCATGTGTGCTGGTGTTTACAGATCGCATACAAATTAAATATATTGATGTGGTTTATAGCCTCGTTGGTCTTCCACCACCACTCACCAGTCAGAATTTTCCTGATATTGCTATTGACTTTCCGAGGGAAAATTTACCTCATTCCTCGAATGATTGCTTGAATATGTGTAATTCCGGTGCAAATATTTCTTCCGCACAGGTAATTTTCTATACCACTTTGCAACAAAAGTTTAAATTGCAAAAATGTACAAAATTTTCAACAACTGTCAAATTAGGTACCAAACGCTACTCTGGCACTCGCGTGAGAATTACCCGACACTAAACGTGGTCTCCTATCAAGGGTAGAGTGCTTCTTGTTTGCGTCCCAAGTTGTATAACTTTATATGGTGCTTACAAATTTGCCTGGCTGCTGTGCACTTTGTGCGAACAAAATACCCCCTACGTATGCATAAACGTTTAAACAAATCATCCTGCAGAATTGTCTGATTTTCTTCATTTGTAGCTTGATCACGAAAGGTGTGCAATGGAGGTTTCGCTTGCATACCCCAACAATCACAGATGTCTGTCAGATCGTCGCTAATTTATCATTTTTAAGGATAGAAAACAGCGCAGTAACTGCCTGTTTTTTTTCATATTTCAGCTTCAATGTAGATCCGGGTAGTTAGGTTGCTTGATACTTGACACGCCGGATCTAAACACACTGGATTATTTGTAACAAATCGCGTGCATTCTGCGTTCCCCATGATGATCTTTCAAGACAGCGGCATGTTTCGTACGCGTTCGTCAAAACAAGATGGTTCTCCGAACTGAGTTGTTTGCACTTCAAAACTTTTCGGAAAGAATAATGTGAGGACTTTGCTCAGCAACGTGCTCTTGTGTATTTCCATTGGCTAACTACGACAGCCCACGTTGAACCGAATTCCTCGGTGCAGCAAAACAACTTGTTCGTTTTATAAACTTAATAATTACACAACGTTGTTGGCGTTACTTCTAAAGATATTTCGAGAAAGTTGACCCCATTTACAAACTGAACTGGGGACATGGTAACTGACAGGATGTGTAGGGTCATTTTTGAAAATGACTTGCTCTAGGTCATCCTGCGGCCTGATATTTTCGCCGTAAGTCATGGAGAGTATAAATTTTGTTCGTAAGTTGTACGGTCTCAATCCCGGACAATGTGAGACCGACTACGCGCGTGTGTAAACAAATTTCCACTCGTCTGGTTTACTGCTGGTGTGATAAGAAACATTTTCACGAAGGCTTCCTAGAAATTTTGGAATTCGTCCCCATCCTGATGCGTGGTACCTGAGTGTGAGTTGAGCGAACCGAGTGTACTCGGCAAAGTAGTCTTTCCATAGAATGAAATTTCCTCGCGAAACTATGGTTCACGACAATCCCGGCTAGTTAGACAGTAATCCTATATAGGCCACACAAAGGTTTCTGTCTTGTTGCCACTGTACTGAGCTACGGTTCAGCGAGAATTGTAAAGTGTAACGGATAACGTGACTAAGAAGGAAATAACGGAAACAAGCTGGAGTGGTCTTTTGTGGCTACCCCGTTGAATGGAAACAAACCAAGGTATTCGCTCGCCTATTGTATGGGCAACCCCTTCAGTGTGCCTTGTTCAGGCTGGTATCCTCCGAACGGTTCAGCGACGGAGCTATCTGGAGTATATTGTCCTACAAAACCATATGTCTGATTTCCGGGTCTACCAGATCGTCTGTTCTTGGTGTGACCCAGGTGGAAGGTGATCCTACGTACCATTCTTATATGCATTAATCACCACACTGCTCTATACTATACCTTACGTTTTAAGGAATACTCCTCGGAATTGACACTGTGTCTTGAGTTTGATGGGAACAGTGCTTAGAATCGCGCCACATTAGAAGACTTGCTCACTGGAAAGACTGAGCGCGCCTGTTGTCAAACTCCTGTTGGCAATGATGTTGGAGAGCACAATCACAGCGTGAGTACTTCCGTTTCATCAAAGAACGACTAATTCATCCAACATGCCGTAGCCGCCCTTCGTGTGAACAGTCAGTATATTGGGGCGGCCTACTGACAAAACGGATCTGACAACAATGGTTAGCCCCTTGAAAGAAACGAGTAATTTTCCGGTTAGCCCCGCTGCGCGACTAGCGTTAACCAAACCGAAGGTTAGGAGACCGGTGTTTCGGTAATCCGAGACGGACAAGCTACGAAGCCAACAAGAAAACGGAAATGGGGTCTCCTGCCCATGTACAAAGTTAACCGAGTTCTATCGGGGTTGGTTAACTGCACGCCGGTGGTTGGACCGTATCAACTGAAAACGGGTCATGAACACCACCATCGCTGTGTCAAACTATACGGTCACTGTCTCCAATCGCCTTCAGCTACTGGACGTGAGAATTCAGCAGTTTGTAGAAATTGGAGAGATTCATCACACTATTCTCGCTCAACCAATACGAATGCTACCTCGAATATCCCCAGTCAGTTGATAGGATTACGGTCTCACCGTGCAAACCTAGGGCCCCATGAACAACGAAGGCGCTAATCTGTCCAAGCCCCAGATGTGAGCCACCGAGGACTGTCAATTCAAGCAAGGGACCCCGCTCATGTCTCTCAAAGCGACACTGAGGTATGTCAGTATGATTAGCTGAACTCGGCGAACTGGTAACAAGTACTTTCGCGAATAAGCTTTCCATCTACGCGCGTGACAACTCTAAATGCAAGACAGTGAGGAGTGCGTAATGTATCGGTCCGTTCCGAGTGGCAGACACGTCGCTCGCTGCTGGATTACAGAACATCGATTGCTTGAACAACAACGGACCAGAGGCTTAGTAATCTTATGATAGCTTCGTCATCCATAACCTATGTGGGGACACAAAATTAAGGACCGGAAGGATTTTCAGCGATACATCTCAATGGTATGCTCACGACAACCCAAATTCACCAATTGCTGTGGCTGAGTCCGCAAGCGACTTCAGTCTTGATGATAGGAGACTCCGAAACACGAGAAGTACGTTAAGACAAAACCGGCGCTAACTCGAACTACCTCTCCAGTTAGCTTTTCAAGACGTTCTATAGGATCCCAATTCGGAGAAGGGATCCTAAAGAAGACGAGGTCCCTCACGTCAGATCCGACAACCGAAACCAGCCGACTGAGGATCTCGATCAATTATCCAAAAACGATACAGGCATTAACGTGCACGAACCGCGTAGGTGAGTTCCCGGACTTAGGTATGAGCCATCCTCAGTAGTTGCTACATATGTAGGGCAGTGAGGGGCGCGTATCAAGCAGGGTTAAGTGGCGGCGCGTTGAAGCAAAAACAAGTTCAGGAAGGTCGCCGACCGAGTGGAATCTAGGTTTTTCCAACCTTGTTATTTGGACTTGAGGAACGACTTCAAAGAACACAAATCGGTAGGACCGGGAGTAACCAGCCCGTTGGCGAGCGAAAACAAGCGCCCGACCCGGCGTACAGTGAAGACAGGAGTGTTAAACAAAGCATATGCGAACTTTCTATGAACCTGAATCACACCAGGGATACCGGAGGACCCATTAGAGAATCACGGATAAACTCCAGAGCGGCAACATGCCATGGGAGGTCAGTGACTTGACAGTGAAGTA